GTGCGTACAACGGCCGAAACGAAACGAAAGATGAGGACAATAGTACATAATACCTCATCTCAGAAATATAAATGAACTAAAAGGACGACTGAGCATAATCCAGGTCCCGTAACACTGGACATCGCAGAGATACTTCATATATGGCATATGAGCGATGATAAATACATTTGAAAACACTTGGATACGTATTTGTACTTCATATATGAGCGATGATAAATACATTTGAAAACACTTGGATACGTATTTGTTTGCCTCACAATTTAACTGGAGAAAATTTAATAGATTGCACCCCCATCTACGCATTTCTGCTCAAATAAAAAAAAAACGATGCATTTTGAAGACGATGAAAAATGACTTGTTTACAAAAATGTGAAGCAAAAGAGGTCTATGAAGTAATGAGCCACCGTTAACCGCTCTTTGTTTGCATCCGAAGAATTTGATGCTGTATGTCGCTGAGTATAGACATTAGAAAAGCATTGTTCTCTATGAGCCCTTTTCGCCAAAAAAAAATCCGACGTTGAATCAAAATATTGTTTCCAATTGTACGGATGAAAGATAGCATTGGATGAAAACCGTTCAGAATAGACAAATCGAAAGGGTGTACACTTTCATCAATATAAAATTTTGGTAGAGACTAGTTGAGATAACCTAATTCACCCACCGTACTCACGTCATCTTACATTTTCTGATTACCTCTTATTTTGAATTATTTAAATATAAGCACAATAAGGGGATTGGGTTATTAGAGTTCAGTGAAATATGGAAAGAAAGAAGAAATCCTTCAGGTGACCCATAGTAGAACCTGCAGTTTTCTGCGGTCTCTTGACTACTTAAATGTTTGTGTAAATTCGGTTCCTAGAACGCTGACTGACTCAGTGAACGTGCAGGGTGGATTGTCCGAAACCTTCTGGAGATGTGAAAAACGGACATCAAATTTCTAAGCACGAGACTTAAAGAGGTTAGGGGTTGGAGTTCCTTTCTATGAGTTAATACAAATCAGTGGATGATCCAAGACCAACGCAGTGTAGAGGGTTACTGTGTGTCCGATAAGATTAAGGAGTAAAAGGCGCAGTTATATGCGGGAAAGTTAATGGTTAACCTTAAACTTGAAGGTGTAAGGGTCGGAAAAGCATCCTCTTGGGAGTCGGTACAACAAAGCAGCTTTTCGAAGGAAATAGCTGCTCTGTGTTTAAGGATCAGATATAATTCATATTGTTAGGGTTTAAGCAACATAGTACCAAATATAATTATGACAACGACGTGAGTACATTGAACAAACTTAAAATCTTCTTCAAGGTCAAATTTGAAGAAGTCTAATGTACATTTGCTACACGACAATGCAAGGCTTCACAACGGCTTAAGGATGTGACATGCAATCGCAGTGCGTGGCTGAACAACTTTCCCTTGTCCGCCCTAGATATTTAATCTTGCATTCTCAGACTTTCATTTGGCACTCAGAGAACAGCGCTTTTCTGAAAAGGATGACATAAATGATAAAACACGCACATTACTGAGAAAGCAGTCATAAAGCTTCTACGGGGCGGTGGCCCTGCCCACATCCAAAGATAGAATGCAACAAGGGCGAGGAAAGAGACTATGTTGAATTCTAAATTCGTAATATTGAGACTTCTGCATTCGTATTGGTACGATTTAGTTAAAGAATATAAATTAATTTTCAACGACCTTGGATATATATTTGGCTATATATTTGTGATTTGATATACAAGTTTATGTTACACATCGTTTGCATAATAAAAACTGACACCTCTAAAACATGTTATTTTAGATACAAATTAAAAGTCATCTCGCATACTGTTCATATAAATATACCCAAAAAATGTTACCTATATCGTTTTATTTTAAAATATCGACTTAATCCGGCAGCCTATATGCATTATGTAACCAAGTGGCTGGTGACGTTTCGTTATTTGGTCGCGTGATTCTCCGATGTGTCGTGTTTAGTTTAATAATCCATTTTGAATATATACGCCAACAAATTGCATATGCATCAGTACAGGTTAAGCTTAGAAAATAAAAAGAACTCCGATTTTAAAGACAAAAGATTTAATGCCAGTGCCAATGTGACACCCCAGACTATACCCATACTCCAAACTGTACCCGAGGGCTATTCTAGACTAGTCTGTTTTATAAGAATAAAGTTAATTTAAGCTTGTTTATAGCCTCAGGTGGGTTACACTAAAATATATCCTGCTAGCACAAAATATTTCTCCATATTTTTACATGTAATAATATATTATTGTAATCCATGGGTGATACTATGGATAATGTATTTATAAAATTTACATTCGGACTAACATCTGCATCTTAGATGCGGTTTGGCCAGTGTATGTTTTGGCCTTTTTTTCAGGTCGCGTAGATTAAATATGAAAGTTCATTCCTCTAGTAAAATCATTGGCATTGTATTTCCCAAGTAGAATAATTTGCAACGGACTCGTATGGTGATGGAAAGTATGAGATCTGTTGTTTTCTTGCAAGGAAACTTTCATCATTCATTGGTCGGAGAGTTAGTATTTCTGTCAGTTGTAATTTATCAAATATTTTTCTTAAAGCATTTTTTTCTCAGTTGCATTGGTTTTTCAGGTCCATCGTTACCGCACATTTTAATAAAGACAGCGGTTTCCTTCCTATCCTTCTGTTTACGGTAGTGTGAAATGTCAACACCTTGATTATGTTATTATTTTCTCACCGAGATATATGTTTCAATTTTTGTTACTATTGAAATTTTTCAAGTGATGATGTTTTTTTTGTTATTTAGGAAATCATTTTTAAAGCTAGTATGGCATAGGATTGACTTCTTGAAGCCATACTTAATCATTGACACAAGAAAACGGTTGTATATAGCTCATAGATGAGATATTTGCGAACGACTTCGACGCCATGCGTGACATCTACATAGGAGTCTAGATCTTTGCAATGTATTTGTATGGTAAAATTACTTACAATGAATTCTTATAGTAAACTTCTTTACAATGCATTTGTTTGGTAAGATTATATAAAATTCATTCCTATGAAAAATCCTTAGCAATGCATTTCTATTACTTGTCTGCCTGGTTCTGCTACAACGAGTGAATTGGCTAACATTTGAAACACTGTCACTGCTAAGTTTTCGATTGCTTTTTTTCTCATAAGCTGGTAAAATAAAGCCTAACTCATGTTAGGTTCTTTTACCGCAATAATTTATTTCCAACTCTTATTTTTCTTGACCTTGTATCTTACTTAGTTGAATTAATAGCAATATTAACCCGTTAAAAGTTGTCACAAATTACTAGTCTAAAATTGACTGTCATGTTTGTAATGATATTGTCGTGCTGCAGTATCTCGTATGAAATCTAATAAAGGTGATCGCAGATGCTCGTTATAAACTTTGAGTAGAAATATAAACTGCCTCGCCTATCGTTAATCTGCCCACTACTAACACGGACATCATTTTAGTTATGACAATGTTCGTGTCTCTGGAACCATTAGAGCTGCATTGTTCGTGGGTTTAAAATCAAAAATCAACAGGTAAAAAACAAGTTCAATTTCATTCAAATTCAATCAAATTATCTCTTTGATTTTTTTTTATTCCTCTTCCTTCTTTCAAGGTTACCATTTTGACAGTGTAGTTTTCTTTTTTGATTTTGATGGAAAATCCGAGAAAAAAACATTGAAGATGCTCGTTCTCATAGTTTATGTCTTAATGTCAGTTCTTCATTGTAGAACGTTAAATGACAGAAAGGCAAGATAACGTACTTTCTGTCAGATAGTTATCGAATCTCCAATAATGAAGATATCCGCTCTAGTAATTCATTGAATATCATATCTTTGTTGAGTGATTAAAATGAGAAAATTGTAATGAAGACCAATCCAAATAAAAAGACAAAACAAAAATGGCGAGAAGAGTGATCAGAATTAATTGTGGTTTAATGAAAATAATAAAAAAAATAATAATAAATGTAATTTTCTTCTCTATTCTTCTGACCGGTCCTTAAAATTATTTTTTTTAAATATTTCCTCGCATTTTTGTCACGCATCGAAAAGTGACATATGCATTTGTGCATTATCAGAAGAAATAATGACTTTGTATGGAAATTGTGTGTTGCTGTGTAACGAGTTTCATTAATTTGCAGATGTAAACGTAAGTTTTATGTCAGCATTTATTTTTCTAGCATTTCTCGCTTGTTGAACTCTCTTCTGGTTCCATACTTTCCAGCCAATTTTGATCTTCAAAAATTTAAATGCCATGTCAATCGTTATCTTCTCTCTTCCTGATTATTCCTCTATTGTTCTCGCACGTTTATAATGTTGTATGCTTTCTAATTGTTTCATACCCAGTAACCTCTTGTGTCTTAGTGGCTTTACTGCCTTACTTGGAGTGATACCAATTAAAAATACATAACGGGTGTTTAAAGTTTTTTGTTGTCATTTCACAAGAAAGAAATGATTTGGTTTTATTAAAATTCTAGAAATATCTTTAAAAAGAAAGGAAATTGCCGAGAGAGTATAAATTGGCAAAAAATTAAACACGTTTTTGTATACATTGTTTCTTGATGTTAAATGTTACAGACAATTTATTATTGTAAATAATAATTTAGAAATTTAATTTAATAATTTTCATTAATTTCTTCCTCTTCACTTCAGCTTCCCAAACGGCAAATATGGGGAGATAAATGCATTGTGGTATCTTCTAAGCTATGTCACGTACAAGGTCACACTCTAGTGTACTTTATGCTTAACGATCTTGTGGACTCTTCCACAACAAGCTAGTTAACCCCTGCTAGGAAATGCACAATTCCTGTTATAATTTTCACCGTCACAATCTTACAAATATATAACAAGTATTCATTGGTCAATCACCTTCAATCTAGCTTGCTGATTGGTCAGTTCCGACCAATCACACCGCCTGCACGCGACCAATCTGTTTTCCCGCTCATATGCTGGGAGCCTCCCACGTGGTACACGACCATTATATAAACCCAACTCGTGTAAACTCCCTGGAGTAGTTTTTCTTTTCATTCATATCTCTCTCTCTCTCTCCCTCTCTCTTTCTCTCTCTCTCTCTCTCTCTCACGTCTCATTCCTTGCTACCAAGTGCCAAGATGTAATCTTCAAGAACTCCCGTCTTAACCATTGCGGTCAGACGTTAAAGACCATTACCAACATTCACGCAAGTACGAACTCTGAAATCTCTTCTGAACTTTTACCAACTTTACAACTCACAGTTACAAACTTTATTCTTCTAATTTACAGTTTATTATTACTTCCTTTAAATATGAACTCAGGTACAACTAATACCTAATCAAAGGGACACGACTCTGTCCTAGCTTTTTAGTTCGCATGCATGTATATCAAATATTAATAAATTCAATTGTTATGTTTTGAAATCATTCCGTTCAGTTTTGTATTTTATACTATGTGCTATTTACGTCAAATATAAATTACATTGCTACCACGCATTGTCCTTAATCCCACCTTTCCTAGCCAAAGTTAAATATTGGTACCACAATCACTACAATAATGATAGCCCCGACGTTCGTCGTTCGACGTTCACAACAACAATGGTAACACCGTCGCTACAAACTCACTACAAAATAATAACATTCTACGAGTTTAGAGCACTAGCTCCAAAAGAAAACGCCCGATAATGGTGGATATATTTAAACATAAAGAAAAACAATGGTATTCAATCAAAAAAATCAATTTTTTTCTCAAGTGTATTCGACTACATGTTGAACGGGAGTATAAAACCACTTTCACCTTCGATGACGGACTTGATGCGGCTTTTGAGTCGATTTTATATCTGGATCAGTGGTTGTCATCACGCTGATGACAGCAGCATCCAACGAGTCATTGGTTCTATGCGACTGTTTTTGCCTTTTTTTTTTTTTTGGTTTTTTTTTTGTGGGGTGGAGATGAGACTCATCTGGGCGATTCCCTAAACAAAATAGTCAAACAGAATCAAATTAGGTGATTTATAAAGTAACACATGACGGTTGACTTGATCATAAAAATTAACGGCTTAACATTTATGGATCAAACGAGCCACATAAAAGTGAACTCATACAGCCACCCTATTGGACTTTGGCTTGACTAAACTCCATCAATATTCGAAAGAGCTATAACAGTTAGTGAACTTGAAAAGCTATTTTACTAAAGAATTGTTTTAAAAGTTTTATAAATTTCAACCAATAGTGATGTTAATTGTTCGGCCAATGAATACCAAATGCTTCATTATAAGGGAACGCCTAGTTTTATTAATATCATTACCGTATGTATTATCTCAATTTAGATGGTGTTATTGGCCCTGATGTACTACAGGAAGTGAGACATCATGATATGGCCATAGTTCTTCACATCCTGCGGGATCACAGCAAAGAACGTGAACTTGGTATGAGTAATTATATGAGATCAACCTACCCTCCCTGTTCAACTGGCTCCAGATTTGACCACGTCACCATAATCTATTTCAGACAAGAATGAAAATCTACTCAGTCAAGATAATCCGAATAATTCCAGTTAATGAAAGCTCAATCTGTTCAGAGACAGGAAAATACACTCTATCCAAAATGGAACAATTCTGAATTCCAAAATGGCAACCAGTATGTTTAACATTTACGCAAATAGAAGCCTAATTGACCAATTATCAAGCCGGAAGCAAATAACATAAAAGGTATGTATTAATACGGTGACATTTTGAGAGCGAATCTGTCTTCTAGTTCAGTCTGCGGTACAAACAATGAGATTCCCAGTTTCCTTGGCTGGCAAAGCAGACACCCAGCAAAAATCACCAAATTACTCTACACGACCTATGGGTCACTCGCATTGATTTTCAAAGGAAACATTCTCCCCACTACATTTACTTCAGTTCGATTTGTGAAGTTGAACAATCTTATAATGTGCAAATATACAGGTATGTTCTGTGGAATAACCAGGCATCTGTTATAGGGTTTGGCTAGCCGTCCTGTTTGTGCTTGTGAAACGAATATTAGCCAGTTATTATAATTATATATTTATAAAATGCGTATAATTTATAAATATGCGTGCATGTAGGCGTAAGTCCAGTAATGAATATATATCGGCACCTATATGTATTCTCCTGTACACAGAGTGCGATGGGGAAATTGTCGCATTTTTATCTTTTTAATTTCGCGCATGCGTGTTGTTTGTTTTTGATTTTGTCGGCTGCATAGTACAGTAGGGTCAGTTGGGCATCGTCTGCGAGAAAAAAAAGAGCACCATGGCGCAATTAACTCTGCCAGAATTTTCGAAACTTTTTTTTGGATAAATTGTCGTCTAAATGACTCAAAAATGAAAATACGCTGGCATCACATTTTAACAGATATATTTATCTACCAAAATACCACAAAAAATATCTTGAAATAATAAAGAGTAAATTCATTCAATAAAATCGTCTCTGGCTTCAACCACGGCCTCTAGACGACTCTTTGTTTAAGTTGGTGCATGGTGCCATAACTCTTGCCTTCAGTTCATATTTGGTGTTACAAGGAGTTTTGTTGGTCTAACTGCGTCCCACATATAATAATCAAGGGTGCTGCCGTTTGGTGGTGGGTTAGGTGGCCAGATCTAAGGCGCTATGTGGTCGCAGAAATTATCAGACTGCCATGATTGGGTGCTAATACCGTGTGGCAGTGTCCTGGTGCCAGAGATAGAATCTTTCAGCAACCACCCTCTTGACCCAAGGCAGCACTACCTGCTCAAAGAACTTGATGTAGGCCTCCGTGTTGAGTCTGAGGTCCTCACCTACAAATTCGAGAGTTCTTTTCTTATCAGAACGATATTATAGCTGACGTACTTTTATAATCTTCATTAGACTCATCCAATTCTTTCCGAATCCTTTGAACTGTCCTCAGATTGACAGCCAAATACTTTATTTGGAGTTTCCGGTACGAATGCCAAACAGTACAGTATGCCGTTTCGAAATTTCTGGCAGAGTTAATTGCGCCATGGTGCTCTTTTTTTTCTCGCAGACGATGCCCAACTGACCCTACTGTACTATGCAGCCGACAAAATCAAAAACAAACAACACGCATGCGCGAAATTAAAAAGATAAAAATGAGACAATTTCCCCATCGCACTCTGTGTACAGGAGAATACATATAGGTGCCGATATATATTCATTACTGGACTTACGCCTACATGCACGCATATTTATAAATTATACGCATTTTATAAATATATAATTATAATAACTGGCTAATATTCGTTTCACAAGCACAAACAGGACGCCTAGCCAAACCCTATAACAGATGCCTGGTTATTCCACAGAACATACCTGTAGTTTTAACGAACAGCAGTTTCTGGGAAGGCGCACATAAGTTGACTTGATTCATTTCTTGAACAGAGTTTGTATGCACAAACCCTCGGCCACGTAGACTTCGTGCTAGCACAACCCTCGATGAATTCCTAACGGTTCCGTCTACAATTTCACCCACAAGGCCGTGGTGTGGTTTTTAGGCACTTTCCACTCACTCAGTCGAAAACGAAAACACTGAGGTGATAAACAAGCAAAGCGGCCATATATATATATATATATGTATATATATATATTGGCCCTGATATATATATATATATTGGTTTAGATATATATATATATATATATATATATATAGGCATCCACAGATAGACTGTTTCGCTGTATCTCATATGTATGTGCGTGTGTGTGTTATAATATATAGTTTTGAGGATTTATGGGTTAAAGTGCTCAATATAAAGGATATAGCGTATGTAAAAGTGGACAGTGAGGACAACACCCAGAGGCGAAATTCTGTTTCAGGCTAAACATAACCTTGTGTTTTGCTTGGCTATTTATATATACATTGTGGGTAGTCTATTTTATTATTCTCATAGTTATTTTGGTCGGTGGTAACGGTTATATTTCATATTATTCTAGGGACTATTGAGTGGAAATAATTATGTATCCGGATGCCGTTTTTTGGATATTTATGGAATTTTTTTTGTGTTTTTTTATTTACTATTGATTATTTTATTGTTGGTTATTATTTAATAATGAGAAGGCACGGTGGAGTAATGGATAGCGGCTTGGATTGAGGAATCGGTTGAGTTTTCTCCTAGACCTCGATGAATTACTTAATTATATATATATATATATATATATATATATATATATATATATATATATATAAAAAAAAAACTAGGTAATCCGTATGGGTAGACCCAAGGAGGATAAAATCCAGACAGCTCAATGTAAATCCAGAGCAAATAATTTAAATAAAAACAGACCACTTTAAGGTTCCGTATATATATATATATGTAATAAATGCAGTATAATTCCACTGTAGCATTTAACTTTTTAATAAAGGTCTCAATACAGAGTAGAGCATAATATCATTTATTAATGAGATTACTCGAATTGACTCGTTTAGAGATTAAAACCTACCGCTTTCTTTAGTGTATCTTCGCAGCTTCTGCAGTCCATGATTTGAACGTTGGGACATGATTTTCCTAGTGTTACAGAGAACTGAGAAGTGAACAGTTATTTACACTCTCAGCTGGGTAAGGGCCAAATGACAGCGCGTTTACAAGCGTCGCTCCTCTGTTTTTCTTTACATTTTAACCTTTTTCTTGGCGACTTCATCCTAATGCAGCGATAGAATTCGCTTTTCCTCCTTTATTTTTCTGTCTACAATTACTGGCACTTTACCATAAAATCATCTTTGCTCTCATTACTGAAGACAAAATTGTTAATGTTGTTGTCTCGTTTCTTACCAACTTGATGGCCCTTTAAGAAAATACACCCAAAGATGCTTTCTTCGTGATGCAACCAAAACAGGATATATTTCTTGTAAAGTATTTTTAATCTCTTTACCGCAAGCAAGGTAATAAACCCACTAAGACGCAAAGAGGTTACCGAGTGGAAAAGAATATAAGAGAAAGAAAAACATCATCAAGGGGAGAGAACAATGAAAGAATAGAAATGAAAAAAAAAACAAGATAACGATTAAGATTGCATTTAAAATTTTGAAGATCAAAGTTGATTGGATAGCAAGGTTTTGAACGAGCGTTCCACAAGCTCCAATTGACAAAGTTCTG